GAGTGTATTTCCCCCTCACCAAAGAGCTACTGCAGGGGCGGGGAGGGGGGCGGGCTAAGCCACTACAGCTCCTTGCTGCCACCAATTTGTTGGCATTCATCAAAACAGGCCACAGTGAAAGCATTCACTGGCAGGTGAGCATACTTCTCGGAATCCTTTTCGAGACTGTGGGTTCAGTGTCACTCTGCTTTTAGGCTTTCCAGGACTCCTAGGCCTCTCGCCACCCCAAGGGTGCCACTTCACCAGGAGACCAGAGGAGCCTGCAGCCTTCTCCATATAGCATCCCCCAAAGCCAAGAGGAGCACAAGGCCCCAAATTTCCTGAGATGGTAATGGTGCCTCTCGACATCCAAATTTCCATCCCAGAACCTGGGAGTCATTTTTTTTTTTTTGTCTTTTGGGTCACACCCGGCGATGCTCAGAGGTTACTCTTGGCTCATGCACTCAGGAATTACTCCAGGCAGTGCTTGGGGGACCATAAGGGATGCTGGGAATCGAACCTGGGTTGGTCATGTTGGCTGTGTGCAAGGCAAACGCCCTACCTGCTGTGCTATCGCTCCAGCCCCTGGGAGTCATTTTTGACTCTGTCTCTCCATCCTACCTCCAAACAGGCTTTTCACTCTATGAGTATGTGTGCATACTCATATGTGTGCCTCTCCTCTCTTTCTGCTTTACTCTAAGCATGCATTATCTCTTGCCTGAATCCAACCACCTCTGCAATAGTTTATTTTTTCTCTTTTGGTTTTTGGGCCACACCCAGCTATGTCCAGGGCTTACTCCTGGCTCTGCACTCAGGAATCAATCCTGGCATTGCTTGGGGGGAATATACAGGTGCCTTACTCACTGTACTATCTCTCTGGCTCCATATTAGTTTTCTAACCTGTATTCTTACCTTCTCCAACCTCTCATCCACCATTGGAGTAATAATCCTATACCCAGACTTGATCGTGTTCATCCCTTAATTACAATCATCCATTCTTTCCAAACACATCCTTTTGTTCCTTTCTCCAGGCTCTTTTGTCTTTCTTTCATCTTTCCTGTCAAGCTTCTGGTCCTCTTTTAAGATTACCAGTTACCAAGATCTCAGTGACCCCCTTCACTGACCACTTGGTGAGAACCCTTCCTGATTTCCTTCGTCCCTGCAGGACCTTGTTCTTCTCTTGCTGTGTTCATTATCCTGCAGTGCCTCTACTTGTCTTAAGCATAACATCCACCAAAGGTTTTTAGTGTCTGTTATTGAAACAGAAGTGTAGTAAGGAATGAGTTAGAAAAAACCCTGAGACTCTATGTGACAGGGAGAGAAAGAAAGAGAGACAGAGACAGAGAGAGAAGAGAGAGGTGAGAGGAGAGTGGAGAGAGAGAGAGAGAGAGAGAGAGAGAGAGAGAGAGAGAGAGAGCGCTCTTCCTAGAATCTAAGAAAAATGACTAGGTCAAGAATTACATGTAACCAGTAGGAGACTCTTTCCTTAAGTTGAAAAGCCACTACTGTCACTACTGTACAAGGAGATACATTATGGAAGACATGTAAATCATTTCTCCATACTGCCTTCTCTCCATCATTTTCAGGAGCTGCTGCTGTGGCCCAGTCACGGAATTACTGTCCTAACCAGTCCCCATGCCTGTGTGGCAGAGGGCAGGAGGAATCTGAAACCCCTATCCAAGCCTATGGGTTCAAAGGGCCAGAGACTCAGTATTTCTTATCTTTTCCAAAGAGAAATGCCACTCTTTCTTGGGAAGACCCTCCGCTGATCACCACTCTTTCCTGAGACATCTAAAACCATCCAATGCCCATCAGAACCCAACCTTCTAGCCTCCCAAGAGATCTCCCTTGTCTCTGTCCTTAACTCACTAGAAATTGAACATCTGTTCATGAGTTAAGTAAATGGCTTAGTGGAGAACCTGGGTTTCAGGGAGACCCAAGGCAAGGAGAGCACTTCTCTCAGGGATACAGAGATGCAGTTTGGTGCCATATGCTGCTGTCCTAACCCTCCCCCAACTTTTTTTTTCTTTTCATTTATTTATTTATTTATTTATTTTTTGGTCACTGAAACCACTGGAGGTAGGGCTTTGTCTGAGACAAGTGATAAAAAGCTCCATTTGCTTTTACTGTGTTTTGTGGCAACAAGTCTCTTTTTCTTCCACTGCTGCAGAAAAAGAAAAGACCAAGACTGCAGGAAGGCACGGAGAGGCCAGGCAGACAGGCCATGGGGCCAGAGAGCCCATCCCTACTGCTCACACTAACAGCCCAGTTGCTCAACAGAGGCTTGGACAGCTCAGAACTATCCAGATCAGTGAGCATGTGGCCTGGATACAGAACTGACACATGCTAAATGCCTATGCCTGGCCGTTTCTCGGGGTGAGGGGTGAGGGGGTGGAAACTGTGCTCGGCGATTAGGCTAGAGAGAGGGTCTGTGGTTAAGGCGCCTGCCTTGCATGCGGCTGTGGCCACAACATTGGTTCAAATGCTGGCAACACATATGGTCCCCCCGGGTACTACCCTGCGTATGACCCCTCCAAAAAATATTTTTAAAAAGAGAAACACTTGGGATTGTCTGGGAGGGAGACACAGAACGAGCCCTGGAACTAGGTCTGGAAGAGAATGGCTCGTTCCTTTCATAAAGAAACAGAAAGAGACCCCAGGGAACTCTCAGGAATAAGCCCAGACCTGGTTCAGCTGCTGAGATGAGCCAGGCCAATTAAATAGATGGTGTGATGGGGAGTAGGGGGAGGCCACTCCCTTCAGCACATTCCCGCCCAGATAGGAGGCTGGTCCATGCAGCTGTGGTAACAGCAACAGCCAAGCAGGGATCTCTACCTCGTCCTCCCACTCGCTGGGAACTAATGCTTAAATTAGCACCTTGGAAACACCCAGATCTGCTGGCTGTGCCTTGTCTCCCGGCTCCGGCCACTCCCCTAGGCCGCCTTTTTGAGCTTGAGTTGCTCTTTCAAATAAATGGTAATAATGATAATAATAATAATAATAATAAATGATAATAATAAAGATGCTCTTGCCCTAGAGCTCATCTGTCCAAGTCGGCAGTGAATGCCCTCTGGATTCTTCTCAGGGCTGGTGGGAGAGGGTTATTTGATCATGCCGCCCATGGGGCAGGCCTTTCAGTATAGGTAGGTCCAGAAAGAGGTAATGAATGGTCTTAGTTTCCATAGGGCTTCAGGAGACAGCCCCTACTCTGCCCACAGAGAGGCTCACACAAAGGAAGTGGGCAAGAACAATAAAATCCCACGGTAGCCCAGGAGGGCAGGGCCATGTCTGTGATCTTGAGCTGTTAACCACTGTGTCCTCAAACACCTGGTAGAATATTTAGAACAGAGCAGATGCCTAATACATATTGGTGAATTCATTTGCTAAATTAATGGTGTCAGGTTCCTATAACACAGTCTTTTGAAGAAAGTGAAAGCTATTGTTTAAACTTTAAAGAGATTAATTTGCCTTCTTCTCCTAAAGGGGAAAATAGTCCAGAGGAGAGACCTCCTAGAAGTCTCAATAAATAATGGCCAAAAGTAAAATAGGTGGCAGTTGGGTGCATGCCTGGGACCCAAATACCCTCCAGAGAATCACTTTGCCATTCTCTTCTGCTCTTGGCTTCTGTGGTATGCCATCTTGATACTTTTATGCTCCCCTCTCCCCCAGTGAGTTGGGGGAGCTCCTCTGATATTCAATCTGGGAACAGAACCTGCAGGCAATGTTGATATTCCTCCAATGGAAGATAACTTTATCACTGATTCCTGAAGGCTCAACCTCAACAAACTACCCTCTTTCAAGAGGCCATTTTAGCCTGGAGGGAAGCATCTGAAGGTGGTCACAGGTTTTCTGATAGGTGCTTCCATGCCATGGAATCTTCTGGGCCATCACTCACTCCTACTGCCACGGAAAACTTCAGGTACAAATAAAGGTACCAAGGACAACTAGGCCAGGCTACCATCCCCCTCCTTCCCAGCTGGCCTCAGATAACTGCTGCTCCCTCCCTGGGAACTCCAGAAGGGAGACAGGAACCAACTCCGTGTCTTTCTTCTCCTGACTCATCTGGACCTCCTCCTTCACCCACCCTCTCTTTTTTGGTTCTCGATTAGAAGCTTAGCATGGGAAAGGAGAATCCAGTTTGACAAGTCAGATTGGCTGGGAAGATTTTCTAGAGAAGAAAGTTCTCAACCCAATTGAAAGTTCTTGAAGTTCAGAAGACAAACTTCTTTCCAACATGACCTAGACCCTAAATAATCTAACGATGACATGGGAATATGGGGGAAAGCTCCTGTAACAACTGTACCCCTAGATTAATACTGTACATGTCTGCAAAGCTTCTAGAACTGTAATCAGAAGGTTGGGGGGAGGGGGCGGGCAGTGTTGGGTAAGTATACGTATTTCCAGCTAAGGAATCGCCAGTGATTCTCTCTGGTTCTATATGCCCCAAAAGATGTGGTTTGGGGTCAGTCGCGGGTCCCTGCCAGTGTCCCTCTTAGTTGTTGTGACAGGTAGGTCACTTGCTCAGGAAGCCAGGAACTACATCTGTCAGTCAGGGGCCTGGGGCCCCAGGTTAGATCCTGTCCCTCACCTTGCCAAGGGAGGAGGCTCAGGGGTCCTCGAGCTGATGCTCTGGGAGAGCTCTGGTTGATGCCAGTAGAGCTCAGAGAAAAGGGGTTGGGCGGTTGGCTGGGGCTACACCTTTGGGTTTCTAGCCTGCCTTACCTCATTCCAGCTCCCTCGGGTCCCTGGGGGCCAGGAGAAGAAAAGGGCGACCCGAGCCAGGACACTCCCCGCGTCTCCCTCTCTCTCCCTAAGGCGAGCTGGGTCTCCGCCCGCCCCGCCCCGCCACCCCCGGAGCGGTGTCCGGCGGTGGCACGGTCCTCCCGAGGCCCGGCCTGCGTGCGCCCGCGGCACCCTCCCTCCCTCCTCCCTCCTCCTCCTCCTCCTCCTCCTCCTCCTCCTCCTCCTCCTCCTCCTCCTCCTCCTCCTCCTCCTCCTCCTCCGTCCCCTCCGCGCCGGCAGCGATGACATCATTCCTCCCTGACTCCCGGAGCGCGCACCAGCGGCGGGACCGGCGCCCGGCGGCGAGGACCCGGAGCACGCAGGCCCAGGATGCCGGGTGGGCCTCGGCGGCTCCCGCGGCCCCGCCCCCTGCCTCCCCGGCGGCTCCCGCATCCGCGCCCCCTGACGCTCCGTCGTCGCCGTGGCGCTCCCCGCACCCGGGCTACGGTACCCACCCTCCCCGCCCGCCCGCGCTCTCTCCTCCAGAGAGAGAGAGGTGCGGGATCCCCCCCGCGCGCTGCCCTCCCTGCCCTGCCCGCCCCCGCCGTCTCCACCCCGAGTCCAGCCAACCGGCGGGCAGACCCACCCCACCATCCTTCCTTCCAGCTCGTTCCCAGGCCCTGCGACTCCCGCGCCCCCTCCCCAGCTCCGCCCCGAGCATCGCAGGCCTCCGAGGCCGGGCGCCTCTCCATCTTCCTCCCTGCCCCAGCGCCCCCACCCCCACCCCGGGCCTGCGGCCAGCTGCTGCACCCCCCGCCCCCACCACCACCACCACGGCCGTGCGGGGCCTCCGCGCGCGCGGCGTGCACCATTGTGCCCCGTTAGTTCCCGCCCGACGGCGGCGTCCCTCTACAGCCCCCGCCCCTCCCACGGCCTGCGTCTGCGGACCTGTCCCCCACCACGACCACCACACACACACACACACACACACACACACACTCACACACACTCCACGCCCGTCCAGGACCCCCGTGCCAGGCGCCCCGGCGCTGTCCTCCCGCGGCGTCCGCAGCCCACCTCCCCGGAGAGAGGAGGCGACCCGTCCCGACGCACCGTCCCCGAGGCCTCGAGTCCCTCCACCCGGCCCGGGCCTGCCCGCCGCCCGCCCCCTCACCAGCGGCTGCACCTCCGAGTGCGCGGTGGGCACCTGGAACCGGTCGATCTCCTCCATCATGGTGCCGGCGGACGTGGTTGTGCGGGCGGGGGAGCTCCGGGCGCGGCCAGGGATGCGGACAGGACCGCGCGCGGGGCGGCGGCCCCCAGCAGCCGGGGCGGGGTGGGGTGGGATCGGGGGGAGGTTGGTGCAAGGCTAGGCCGCCCCGGACGGTACGGGCGGGCGAATCCCGGAGCCGAGAAGACGCGCCGCGCGCGGGGGGCGCCTGGGCACAGGCTGCGCTGGCGGGCCGAGGCCGGCGGCGGGGCTGGCTCGCGGGCTCTGCCGAGCGCTACCGCGGCGGCGGCGGCGGCGGCGGCAGCCGGGTAGAGCAGCCTCAGGTCTTCCCTCGCCTCCTCCTCCGCCGCCGCCTCCTGTCAGCAGCTCAGCCACTGCGGTGACTCGGCAACTCCACTTCCGGGTCCGGGACACCGCCTGGATCTGCATTATTCATGAGGGGGCGGGATCACGACGCGACGCCCCGCCCCCATGCGGGAATTCCGACGGAGCGCGGTCGCCGGGCCTGTCCGTCTTCAGGGGGCGGGGCTTAATGAGCCGGAGGTTTCCTCCTCCCCCTCCCTCTCTCCCCCCTCCCGCGCGCGATCAGCCCCGCCTACCGCTCCGGGCCCGGAGGCGCCTGCGCCCCGGCCGCCGGTTGGTTGCTGGGTAACCGCGTCTGGGAGGAGCCCGATTTCACCCTGCAAAGCTTGCGGGGATCCTGACAGCCACGGTTGTTGTCCCCAGAGAACCCGGGCGCCTGGAAATTGGAAGAGAATCAGATTTCCTGTGCGTGATCGAGGGACGGACAAACTTCTTGTCCTTAGAAGAGCAAGGGTGTTTGGGAGGCGCCCCAGGTGTAGGGGTGCTTCCTGCTTGCTGCTGCTTCTAACATGTCACCGAAACAGGCACCACCTCGTAAGCAGGTAACATCCACACACTATCTCTCTCTCTCTCTCTCTCTCTCTCTTTCTGTCTGACATGCCCTCAGGGTGACCTCTGACCTCCACTCCCATGACCAATTCTACCTCTCTGACTGATCACCTGATCACCTTCTTTTACTCCTTCAGTGCTGATGTTGTGTCCTTGTGAGTCCTGGACTGGGTCTCCCCTGCCGGGTTCTCTGCCTGAGGCCAACCTCCTTGCATGCACATTCCCCGAGCCACTGTTACCTTACTCTTTTCCACTTGCCCGGGCCTCTGCTGCTTCCTTTCTCTTCCTCCACTCACTCCACTGACCTGTGCTGACTTGCTCCTTTTCCTTATGTGACACCCCAACTCTGGCCCTCACATTCTTGTCCCAGAGAAATTCTTCTGCCAGCCCTTTGCTTGTGTGCTCAACCCTGGGTTAAGAAGAGGACACAGGCTTTGCCCTTTGAAAGCCCAAGATGTTTGTACAGCAGACACAGGGTCACTTATGTGCAGGTGTTTGGTTTAGAGTTTCCATGCTGGGAGTCTTGTGAAGAGAGAGAGCAAGTAAAGAGGAAGAGGAAAGAGGCCGCTTTCTCATCCCTAGTCCCCTCTTCACACACTGCACACTCCCAAAACTAGCTTCCAACTATTTCTTGTGTGTGTGTGTGTGTGTGTGTGTGTTGGTGGGGGGGTTACACCTCTCTCTGTGCTTAGGAATCATTCCCTGCAGTGATTCAGGGTTTCTTGCGGTGCCTTGCAGTATTGGGGATTAAAACAGGATATGTCACATTCAAGGCAAGCACCTTAACCCCTGTACACTCACTCCAACTCCCAACTAGTTCTTATATGTCTCTCTTATCTGTGAGCCTCTGGTTCATTCTTGTGACTCCTTTGACCCTCTAAATACCTGATCAGTTGTCATCCTGCTTCTCATGAGTCCTCCTCTTAAATGTACCACAGAGTTTGCTCTTGTCCCCAGCATCACCCTGGAAGGGGAGGGAAAGGCCAGCCTCCAGAAGAGTTCTCTGAAATGAAACCACTCAGTCCTTCTAGGGTGACTTTTCCCAGCCCTCTTAGGAATGACCACCCTGTACAACTATGCAGTAGTAGAACTGTAGCACTGTGCTCCCATTGTTCGTCGATTTGCTTGAACAGGCACCATTAATGTCTCACAACAAATTGTGAGACTTGTTACTGTTTTTGGCATGTCGAATACATCACGGGGAGCTTGCCAGGCTTTGCTGTATGGGCAAGATACTCTCGGTAGCTTGCCGGGCTCTCTGAGAGGGGTGGAGGAATCAAACCCAGGTCGGCCACATGCAAGGCAAACGCTTTACCCACTGTGCTATTGCTCCAGCCCTTATGCAGTAGTAATTTGTTGTAAATTATGGCCGGGGGTATAATTCAGCAGCAGAGCACTTGCCTTTTCTGTGTGATGCTCTGAGTTGGATCCCCAACACCCTCCAAAATAAATAAATATTCCTCATTCAGGCCTATGCATTTAGAGACTTAGAAAGCACTCATGTTGTTTGTGACTTCACATAATTTAATCTGGTTCCTCCATATCAGCCTTTGTTCCTTTGATCCTTTCCTCTGGCCTCCCACCATGTTTTAGATTCCCGTACCTGTGGGGAGGATGCTGTTCCCCTATGACTCCTGTGCTCTATTTTTCTCTCAGGGTTACACTGCATTTTGAAATCTGTGTACTGTGCTTGAGCCTACTGACTCAAGTTAACAGGCAGTTTGTTTTGTTTGTTTGGTCTGGAGGCCACACCTGATAGTGCTCGGGGATCACTCCTGGTAAGACTCGGGGGAACCCTAGAGGATGCCAGAGATTGAACCATGGTCAGCCACAGGCAAAGCAAGCTCCCTATTCACTGTAATCTCTCTCTCTGTCTGACCCCACATGCAGTTTCTTTTTCAATTCTGAGATCTGGTTTACATGCAATGAAATGAACCATTTTAGTTGTACATGTTGACAAGTTTTAGAAAATGTATACACTTGTGAACACTATAATCAAGGTATAGCCCCCAAAGTTCCCTGGTGCCTTATCTGTCAGCCTGTCAGCTCTCCCTAATTCTCTAACTCCTGGTAACCAGGGAGCTACATTCAGTCACTACAGATTAGATTTGTCTGTTCTAGATTTTGTAGGTAGCTTGGGAATACCTCTTACAGGGGAGATATTAGAGGCCAATTACCTGGGGAAGGGAAGACAGGAGAAAGAAGGAGAGAGGGCAGTGGGGGAGGGGGCTGGAGGGAGACAGAGGAAGAGAGAGACAGAGAGAGATAGAGACGGGGGAGGGGGGGTGGTGGAAAGCAGAGAAACCCTGGGTAACCCTACACATATTAGCACTGCCCCCTGGAGAGAGGTTGTCACTGTAAATATTGGTGTGTTAGGAGTAAGAAAAGGTTGGGTTGAGCTAGGTTGTCTTCATCATCCTTTTTTTATCTTTTTTTTTTTCATCATCCTTTTGTCTCAGGAAGCACAATCTGGGTCAATGGTGCACTGGCAATGGAATAACCTAGAGTTCTTTGAGAAGTTGTTCCTGTCCACAGGCAAATGGGGGACTCCAAACAGAGGCATACAAATGGAAGGAAGGAGGGAGCGGGCGGCTGAGAGGGAGAGTCATAACTCAGAAGAGGTTCAGAGAGGAGGCGGGCAGGACTGGAGGCCTCCCGCGGAAAGGGTTGGCTAGAATTGGATTTGTTAGCAAACAGAAGAGTTTAAACTCCGTTGTTTGTGCCAGAGATAGTGTAGGGGTTAAGGTGCGTGCCTTGCATGCAGCCGATTCTGTTTCAGTTCTCAGTACCATATAAGCACCACCTAAGCACTGCTGGGAAAAACCCCTAAACACAGCACAGATCCAGGAGTGGCCCCTGAGCTCCACTGGGCATAGCCCCAACATAAAAATCCAAACCCCAGAACCACCACCAACAAATATCCAATTTTTTGGTCCATGTTATTCCATTGATCAAGACCTTTTTGTGGCTCTTTGCTCTCAGGATTTCCAAAGTCTCTCAAGTTCCTAAAGTCCAACCTTGTTGGCATGGTCTTGCATAGGCTGACCTTTGCTACACACCCTAGTGCAGATGCCACACTGATGTGACAGTTCCCCCAGACCCAGCTCACTGAACTGCCCTCATTTCCTAGGAAGTGACATCCACGGTCTTTCTCCTCTGGGCCTTTGGAACTGCTATTTCCTCTGTCTGCCTGGTAGTCTTTTTGCCTGCCCCCACAGGCTCTGTGCCCTAGATCTCTCTTTCATCAGCTGATTAGGCATTGGATGTCAGTTTGTCATCTCCTTCTCCTACAAAAGATTAGGTCTTCTCTTTGGAGGCAAGATAGGAGTGAGAGGAGTGTTGTTGCCGTTAGACTCTAAACTGTGGTGGAAGGTCATGTCTTCATTGTTGATTCCCTGTACCTGCCACATTGCCTGGGATATGTTAAATTCTGAGAAAACGAATTGAATATGAATTCTGAGTGGCTTGACTTGTTCTTTGAGAACTCTTTGTTTCTCTCTCTCTCTCTCTCTCTCTCTCTCTCTCTCTCCCCCCCCCCCCCTCTGTGTGCGTGTGTAGTTGGGTCAACCTGGATGTTCTCGGGGCTTCCTCCTGAAGGATCATTCCTGAAGGGCCCTGGGACCATTTGGGATTCCAGGCCAGTGGCATATGAAGCGAGCACCTTACTGGCTGTTTTATCTCTCCAGCCCAGTGTTTTGGGGGAATTTTGATCTGAGTGCATTTGAAGGGATGGTGGAGTCTGGAATGGAGAGCAGAGTAGGGAGTGATGATAAGGAAATATTACTGTCTAAGCATGTGTTTCTGGGTTCATATTTATATCTACTTTGGCAGGACTGTGAATGTTGTCAGATTTGAACCACATGTTTCCTTACCTTACGAGCTGATTATTGGAAATTTAGAGGGTTAAAAATGCTGATTGCGTAAATATTCATTCTCTTTCAATAGTTACTTATTGTGCATCTGCTTTGTGCTCTGAGTATTGGTGGTCTCGCAACAAACAAAAATCTCTGCTTTACTGAAGCTTACCTTTTAACTGGAGAAAATTGTCAGTAAACAAACAATAGCATAGACAATATATGAGATGGTGGTTGGTGCCAAACATGAAATAAAGCAGGGAAGAGGACTAGGAAGTTCAGGAAACTAGAAGATGATGATTTAAATAAATTGGTTAGGGAAGGCCTTGCACAGGTGACCTTACAGAGAGATGTAAAGCAATGAAAAAAGTTAGTTACGTGATTCTGGGGGCAAAGCATCCCAGATAAAGGGACTAGCAGATGTAATATCTCCTAAATGGGAGTTTTCAGTTCTGAGTCAGCAAGGTAGGGTGGGGGCAAATGGTGGGAAATAAGGTCCCAGGGGTGCATCACTCTGTCCCATGGGGTTAATCAGATAATCCATGGTGTATTAAGTTGATCATGATGGAGCTCTCCATGAATCATACACTATAATTAAAATTCATGAGTGTCAGTTTCCA